CACTCACTATCTTTGCGTCTGAGGAGCACTTTGGCTTCACTTCTCTTAAAACATCAGACCATGGATTATTTCATATTCTTTGTGAACACCACAATTCAAAGACAGCAAATAATCTTCACTCTTCCTTATTCATTAACCAGCTTGCACATGTGTATTGAATCTAGTTCATCTTGTTAAAATTGATGTCTGTTTTGTCAGTGATAATTCTGTTTTGAGCTGTAAAATTACTTTTTTTTTTTTAAAAAAAACCTAGTTTTTAAAATTACAAAAACAAAGTAACATACAAATTTTCATTGGCAATATTGTTAGGCTAACTAAGACCATTTTTTCTTAAAGAAATTTAAACCTGGAAAAATACATAGAGAAAAGTTTCTTCTTAAGGAAAAGTGAAACAGATAGTGGAGTATTATTTGTGTCTAAACTGGAAAGTGGTGAAAACTAAGAGATAAGAAGTATAACCCTGGAAGCTAGTTTTGATCTGAGAATTATCATTGATTCAAAAATAACATTTAAAAAAAATTTTATTTATTTATTTATTTTTAAACTTTTTATTATTTTTGTGTGAGTGCACCGTCAAATCAATCTGACTGGTACAGGAGGAGATTGACCCTCCTTCCCTGGCAGAGCATCTGGTGGATTCGAACCGTGTGCCTCTGCGATTGTAGTTGCAGCTCCTTACCGCTAGGCCACCAGAGCTCCCCTAAAAGTAACATTTTAAATAGCTACTATTTTTAATGTCTTGTGACACCAGGAATTAAGTAGTTCAGATCTAAAACCTGCTCAGAATGGTAGTAGAAAGTTAGTTAGGATTCTCAAAAGGATTATACCTTGAGAGTAAGGGTAAACTAGAAATGATTCTTCTCCGTAGGATTTGCAATTCTATTTGAGAATTTGGAGACCTTCTCCTATGTATCTCTTCATAAGGTAGTAAAGAAAACTTGAGAATACAGCTGCTTTTTTTTTTTTTTTTTGGTTTGTAACTTTTACATTTTTCCCTCCTCTCACTTTAGGGGTTCATGGAAGGAGCATAGTTTTACATTTAGAATTTTGTATATGTAACTGGTTTCGCTTACATTGTCCCCAGCAGAGCATGGTCATGCCTCTGATAGCATTTCAGACTTTTGAAAGTATAACTTAAATATTTGAGGGAAGGGTGTTGTAAAAAGAGCAAGGGTCATGTGGGGATGGCCATGTCTGACCTCTACCAACTTCCCAAAGGGGATTGTCCCTGTTAACAGCATCAGTAACACCAAACCAATTCCCACAAGATCAAGTGTGTCCCTCACAATCCCATACATCTTTCTGCTCTTCTCAACACTAATCTTACTGCTCTGCTGGATCCAAAACCTGATGTGATAGCTCACAGACCTCACAGAACCATATTGAGGAAGTAAAAAGGTTATAATCCAGATCAATAACAATATAGTTAAGACAGCTCCCAAACCATGCACTTAGGCACCTCAGCCTCAAGCCTTGTGCCTTCAGGCCAGTGGTTCCCAAGTTCTCAGTCCTGCTAATATTTGCTTCGCTTCCTCCATTGTTCAGCAGAGGTCTCCGTCCTGCTAGTATGGGCCCCCACTTATTTAAGGTCTCATCTCACATCACCATTTCATGTCAAGTCTCTATTTCAGCCATGGCTACTACTGATATCTCGTAAGATATTCTGCATTTTCCTACTTCTTTTTCACCTGGCTGAAGAAAGTCTCTTTCCTCTTCTGGCAGGGGAAGATCGCATCTCTGAGCCTAGAGCTGTGCAATTTATTGACAAGACTGTCCAATCAGCTTGTAGATTGTTGAGACTGGCGAGTTCTTTTGTGGAATGGTAGATAGCCAGTCCCTTTGTGGATAAGCCAAGTCCCTATTTTCATAGTCCCTCCCAGCCACTGGGTCAGACATCCACATTCAAATAATGCTAGAAAAGCCATCTTGAAAGACAGACTTCATAGGTCACCTTCTGGCTTTTCTAGTCATTGACATTCACATGTTAAGTCAACATAAACATTAACACATAAACCTTCCTAGGGATTAACAGTTTCAGCTTCAGTCTCCACTCCCAGGCCATTGTACCCACACATGTGCATATAGCTTGGGGCGTCTGCCCTGTGTCAAGCCAAAAGCCTCTTTCCATTTTAGTAGCATCAAAAGTCGCGTTTTTAACCACACTTACCAAACCCTTAACTTCTTAAAAAAATCCTACATTTCCATGGGTCTGGAGCCGTTGCATTGAACCCTGCTTCTAATATCAACTATATAAAGAGCAAGAGTTACGTGAGGACAGCCATGTCAGACCTTTACCACCCTCACAAAGGAGAACTTGGATTCACAGGATCAGTAACACACAACCAATTCCCCTGAGGTCAGATATTTCCCTCACACTTCCATACCACTTTCTCCTCATCTCAACACCAATTTTGCTACTTTGGTGGGTCCAAAATCTGATGCTATACCTCACAGGCCATGCAGAACAATGTTAGGGAAGCCAAAGAAATGTGCTTACATGCATCTCAGCCTTGAGCATCATGGCTTTAAGCTAGTGTTAAAAAGTTGTCTATGGTTCCCCCATCCCCATTTGTTCAGCAAACTTGGGCAAGGGCTTTTAGCTCTGGTTGCAATGATATAGTAATCCCAAGGTGCCAATCTCACATCAGGTCTCTGATTCTGTGTTTAATGTCAGTTCTGTTTTTCTACTGTGGTTGTTGGTCCAGTAGTCCCTCTTGCTTGATATTTTCCTGGAGGTAACATTTTTTTGTGTGTGTGGTGGCAGAGAGGTCTCATTCTGCTGCTGCTGATTGCTCAGTTTAGTAGTGAAACTAACCAAACACCTTGTGGATTGGTAGATAGCCAGTCCTCTTGTGGATAGGTTAACATGCCCTATTTGCATATTCTCGCCCATCTACATGGCAGAGTCAAACTGTGGTTATGAAGGTCATGTTTGAAAGATAAATTCCACAAACACATTACCATGTTTGTGTGCACTTATGATAAAATATGTTCATTACTTTATAGAAAAGCAAACAACAGTTTGCACTCCTATTGAGATTCTTGTGATGTTTCATTTAGATTTGTGCTAGTTGAGTCAATTTCTCCATATTCATTGTGGCTAAAAGAATTGTTCTGACATTTCTTAGATCACTTTTTCATGAGTTACTTGAAGACTTTTTTCCAAATGAAATAGGAGATCTAAATTTTAGTGTGCTAGAATTTTTATTTTTTTTAATTTTTTATCCGGAAACCAAGTAAATTTAAAAATAAAATTTATACTCTTAATTTGTCTAGATCTAGATGGTAATTGATAATGTTACTTTCATCCTAGTTCATTTGTTCGAGATATTAACTGGTATCACTATATATATAGAAAGCTTTGTTTCAGAGTGAGAGAGATCTGGTGGAATTGTGGTTAAGCTCTTAACAGCTAACTAGCAGTCTGAACCTATTATCCATTCTTAAACTCTGTGGGGAAAAGATGTGGGAATCTGTTTCTGTAAAGATTTATAGTTGTCTATCCAAGAGGATTGCTGTAAGTTAGAATCTACTCAGAACTGATGTGGGGGTATAGTTCTACAAATATAGTAAGAGCATTACTTGGGTGATTTTTTTTTTAGAAGTGAAGACTGCTTGATTTTGTCACAGATCTGCTGGAGTTTGAGTCTGGGCCTGCAATCCAGCAGTGTATATTTTAATAAATTCACTGGATGATTTGCATGTATACTAAAGTTTAAAAACCTTTTCTTAAGAGTAAAAATATAAATGTTTT